GACCATTTTTACTGAAAACGAAGCATTCCATCTTAGTTACCAGGGGTGACAACGCATCTTTTTTTGCTGTGGCAACCCCGGTGATAAGTTGTAAAAGTAATTGGTCCCGATAAATTTTAATAATTTAAATATTGCAAATTCACCATATCCACCTCAATTTTATGTTATAGTTAATAATTACTGTCGCTTTGTATTTAATATTTAAGGAAGTTGATACATAAATATTATAACAACAATTTGGTGTTGAAACAAAAAGTGACAGGTAACAAACATTGTTTTAAAATAATCAAAGTTCTTATTTCATATTATTCCTTTTATAAATTAAAGATTTATTCTATTACTCGGATTATTACATTCTTTGTGGGTTTCTTTTCGAATTGTTTTAACGATAATTTGATTTGAGACTTGTATATAGAAAAAAAAAAAACAACAACAAATTTACATTAGCTTTCTCCGCTCCTTCTGTTTTCGATCTTTGTTTTCTTTTATTATTTATAATAAATAGTAAAATAAATACTCGCAACGCCAAGACGCGCCAGATGGAGAACCAACTCCAGATTGCGCTCCAAGAACATAAGGCGTCCAAGGAGCAGTTTGAACTGTTGCTTAAGGAAAGGGATGATAATGAAAGGGAAATAGTTAGCATAATTGCCAAAAATACACAACTGAAATGTGATATGGTTAAGTTACATACCGAATACACAAGTGTTATAAAAGAAAGAGATCAGCTACAGGGAAAGGTTAATGAGTTTGACCAATGCAGCAAGGAATATGAGGAAGCTCTCAGGTTGTAGCAAACATTGAAGTGACAGTTGAATGAGGCTAATGATCAAATAACACAATTTAAAACATATATAGATAACCTTAAAGCCTCCCAGACTCAAAGCCTGTTCTCTGAGCTTGTGCAATGTGATACTTCAAGAATGTTACAGCAATCTGCAACAATAGACTTGACTGGTGACGACTCTTCCACTTCAGGAGACATAGTAAGGATTAATTGCAGTAAAACCAAATTGAAGAAGTATATAAAAGTAAATAAATAGGAAGCATTGTTATGTGAACTTAATTTGTATTCAATTGAGGTGGATAACATAAAAAAATGTTATGAGACTGAAGTGCCATAAATCACAAATATTATCACTTATTAACTCCTTTCAAACTGTATCCAATAAATATAAATCAGCCCAAAATGAAATAAAAGAACACATTTTGTCTATGGATAATCTGGTAAAGACTTGTAAATATAATGAGGAGCGGTTTAATTCCTTAGATAAATATCAATGTGAGTTTCAGCGTTCAATGCCAGCTTCTTCAGAGTTAGTGTGTGCTGATAATATTAAACCACCACCAAAACTCTATGACAGTGCCATAGCAGAGGATATTAAAATAATAAATAACTCAAATATTACTAAAAATAATATAATTGTGTATAGCGATAACATGGGAAAATCTTTCTTTAAAGGGACAAAAAGTTACAAATTCCTGCATGCCTGGAGCATCTTTTAGTGACATCCTAACTAAAATTATTGTTACTAAATTTTGCCCAAAATAGTACAATAATAATTTTTGTTGGTAGGAGAGGTAGTGTAAACAACAAACAGTTATTAAGATATATTGAACAACTTAATAACTTAAATGTACACAAAATTGTCTTCTTCACACTGCCTTATATACAGGGATTGCCACAGGAAAATAATTTAAGACATAATTTAAATATACAAATGCATAATTTAATATGTAATAATAATTTAAATTTGACATATAATTGTAATGACAATAATAATAAATTTCATGTAATTGATACAAATAATTTAATAAAAAAGGTTTGGACAAAAGATAGGTATTACCTATCCAAATATAATTTAAGACTGGTAGCATATGTCCTATCTTATTATTTACTTTTTAACTCAGCCAAGTTTTTGGCTACCAAGACTGCTTTTATTGAGCAAAATTATTTGACATATATTTTGGAATCAGTTCCAACTAATTTAAGTAAGTAAATGTGACAATAGAGGCAATCTATAGCAATAATAAGAGTTTAATTAATTTTGAATACAGCCCACAAATAAGTAATAAAAATTGTTTACACCTTGGAATTGGAAGTTGAATTGTTTTTAAATAGTAACAATATACACATCCTTTGTATTACTGAACATTGGCTAAAAGATTATAATTTCATGTTTAATTTCAGAAATCATCAGGTGGTCAGTTCCTTCAATAGAGAAAAAAGTTTACGTGGTGGCTCCTTAATATTAACAGATAAGTCATTATTATATTAAGAACGTAAGGATATATTGTGAGCCTCTCTGTTGAGCGAACTATAGAAATGGCTTGTGTCGAGCTCGAGCACCTCATTGTTGTAAGTGTTTACAGACCCCCATGTGCTACTTATGACTATTTTGAAAGGATTGTGGAAGAAGTTTTACTCGAACTTAGTACAGAACAGAACAAGTCTGTTGTAACATGTGGAGACTTTAACATCAATCTCCTCGAAACTCCTTCCATTAGTATTAAGTTTAGCTCATTGTTTAAATCGTATAATTATGTTAATTTATTCTTAGAACCAACACGTATTGCTGGGCCTAGTGCGAACTGTACAGATAACATATTTACAGATGTTAAGTCGTTGCATAAATCAATTATTCAAAATTTAAGTTCAGATCACTATGGACAGTTGGTATCACTACCTTACATACACAAAAAACAGAAAAATAAGAAAGTTGTGTTTGTTCCAATAAATGAACATCGTTTGGAGAGGTTTAGAAGTTATATAATAAAAATACTTCCATCACTTTCGTTTAAAAATAGTGCTAATTATCTGTATGCTACATTATTTAAAATTATCAGTTGTAAGTTTAGTAGATATTTACTTCTAAAACTTTCTCTTTTAACAGTCGCAAATCATTTAATGAATGGGCAACGGGAAGAATTTATAAAAGTAGGCGAATGTTATACGAGCTTTATGATGAAAGATCATATAATAGTAGTGTTATATTTAGAGATTATGAAAAACATATTCTAAAATATTTAAAAAAGTGTGCTCCACTGCTAAGGCTTTACATTTAAGCAACAAAATTAAAACTGCATCCGACAAAATTAAAATGACCTGGAGAATAGTAAATAGTGAAACGGGCAAGGTCAATCCGCGCAACTCGGATTTTCAATTGAATATTAACAATAATTTAACGCAATCTGATCAAGAAGTTGCTATCGCTTTTGAGAAACATTTTACTGATGTTCCTTTTTTGACAACAAAATCATTAAATTTTTCTCCTACTGTCGCCGAATCATTGCTCAAACACAATGTAAAGGCTTGTTCAAATACTTTTAAATTCCATAGCCCTTTAAGGCCGGGACAAAAAATCTTGCGTAGCTCGTTTTCGATCTTCTAAGTACCCATATCCAAAGTCATCCTAGAAAAATAATAAAAAAATCCCACCCCCTCCCCCCTGAGAAAACGTCATGTCACGATAGTGCGATGTCGGCTTGACCTTGTCGATCAGAATTTGGTTAAGGTATAATTTTGCTATATATGTTTTTGTAATTTATAATGAAAAAAGGCATGATTATTCATAATTATTTATTTTTATAAATAAAAAAATAATTAATCAACATTTAAACTAAAATATAACTCCTTGAGATCAATCATTTCTTAAACATTTTGGTACAATCACTTTGAACTAAAATCTTAGGAAACTTAGCCTCTAATTATTGCCTATGTAAGGATGTGAAACAGTTGCCTTTTCTGTTAAGATACACGTTGCATTTTTCACATCTTATCTTGGATCTACTTGTACACCCTTCCATTCTACAGGATCGAGAGTTTTCGATCTCGTCAAATACCGGGTAATGTTCATAACCATCGTGACGTTTCGCCTCTGAAGGTATATTAGCCGGTCGGTATCTCTTGGCAGGAATATCTGGCTCCACATTTTCCGGATCTTCAGCCTCCAAACCTTCCATGTTTTCAACAGCATCTTGTTCTGGCCTTGGACGATCAGGGGTTTTGGTAAGACTACAGCTACTTGCAATTTGAATTGAAGTAAGTCAAAGACTTGGCCCCTATGTACGTGAGCCGTCTGGCAGTGGATTTTGTATAAACGCCAAGCATTTGCGATTGCAAGATCCAAAAAATGTAACATGATCTTCAAAGTCCATTTTTTGGTCTTCATAAAAGTTCAATAATACTCGATTGATTGGTCGAGGACGTCAACTCCTCCCATGTTCCGATTAGAATTGGCAATGATAAGGGGCTGCCTGACATCGATGTACGCATTCTCCTTTTTATTCCATCGCTTCACGAAAATATGATCGTCTGCCGAAGTGCAATTGGATGCCGCCAGAACAGATTTGTTGTCCATCCAGTGCACATTTACAACACTTTTAATTACGAACTGTTCAGTATCTCCTCGGTTCATTTCACGGCCCTTTTTAAAAGTCATATATTTTTTGTCAGGTATTCTATCCGTCATAACCGTTCCTGTGCCATGCATTCCTTTTTCATATAATCTTTCCAAGAGAGGTATTGACGTGAAATAACGATCAAAGTAAATGCAACTTCCTGGGGGAATGGATTTGGAAAGGTGCAAAATAACTGCTGCACCCACACCCAGAGATTTATCTGTGAATGGGGTGTTAGCCCCTTGATAGACTTCAAAGTCAAGCATTGGACCATCGCTTGTTGTGGTTACAAAAGCTTTCAAGCCGGTGGGTCTAGGTTTGGACTTTATGACTTGGCGTAGACCTTTTGGGCACAAGCCACAGAAGGGGATCATTTGTTCGTCTATAGAATTGTATCCCGGTAGTCTTTCTATTTTCTCACAGGCATTTTTTACCTGATTAAATACCGAATGTACTTTCCATAGACTGTTCTTATTACCAACTGGGGTGATATCCTCTTCCACCACATGAAATATTGTGCGCAACAGCTTCAGTCGGTCTCTTGGAATGCTATCAGCTACTAATGCCAGTCTAATTTCTTGCCTCCAGTACATATGAAGTCATGGATAAGTTATGCACCCCATTATAAAATGCACACCAATGAACTTCTTCATTTCTACAGGATTAGTATGAAGAACCCTTCCAGTTTGCCTCAAGTAGTAATTATTTATGCAGTAAGCAGCTTTCTCATAAAATGCATCGTCAAAATAGTCCTCGAAGTATTCGAGAGGTGTTCTAATTGTTTGTTGTTCCCGTGGCGGAAAATTATGTTCTTTTCGGTCAAATGGAATAGATTTCCATAGCCTTCGCCTAGACTGATCCCTGTTGCGTTGAGCTGCCTCGGACTGAGCACGAACGCTAGGTGGCGGATTACCAGATAAATCAGGCAGCTGATCATTTCTATTCATGCAGTCCCTTGTGCGGTACCGAGAATTACCATGAGATGTGCTTGGTACGTTTGATGAACGATCAGGTAGATGATGCCGGCGACTTACAGAAAGACCACGTTGAGATCCAGCGCAGACTGTATTCGGACTAGGACTTATTTTTGGTACCTGAATGTTAGTGGTTTCTCCTTCTTGCTCATTGTTAGAAATATCATCGTCCGAATACGACTGACCCGCCACCCGATCTGGTACAGCCTCAATGCCTTCCTCTTCATGACATTCCTCATCTTCGAAACCCTCTATCTCAGACTCGTTTCCGTCTGCTATCAATTCTAGTAAGTATTCGAGGTTAATGTTCTTTCTGCAACAGAAAAAAGAGCGTTTTGTAATTTTTACCGATTAAAAAAATTAAAAACATTGATCTAATTTTTAATCAACATAAATTTTGATATACGAGTTAAAGCCGGCCTCGCACTATCGTGCGTGTTTGAACTAACAACCAAGTATCTTCTTGTCCGATAGAGGTACGCATTGAACTATAGTTGCCTCATTGACTTGACTTTATTACCTATTAAAATCGCTCAATCAATGTAGTCAATCACTATTAAAAATATTTTTAATCATAAATTACTTTTTTCACGCGCGTCGATCAGCTGCACCGCCATTTTGAAAATTGCAGAAATCCGCGACAACTTCTCACAAGTATAACATTTGCAGCAAAGTTCACACTATACTAAACGCACTATCGTGTGGTATCGGCCGCGTCTCGTAAAGTTAATCGAGCGCGCGAAAATATTTTGGTAAAGTTGAACGCACGATCGTATAAGAGCGTCGTGAAAAAGATAGAGTACTGCCAAAAGATATCGTTAAATATTTTAAAATTATTGATGTCAAGAAAACAGCATACTTATGGGGAATTTCCGTTAAAGTTATTTTATCTATAATAGATATAATAGCACCTTATCTAGCCACTATATTTAATATAAGCGTCGAATCTGGTGTGTTTCCTGATTTAATGAAACATAGTCAAGTCATACCTATACTTAAATCTGGTAGTACATTAGACGCCGCAAAATTTTAGACTAATTTCTGTACTACATACATTAAGTAAAATTTTTGAAAAAATTATTTTAGATCACATGTTAGTTTCTTTAATATTAATAAATTGCTACATAAAAATCAATTCGATTTTACAAGGGGTCGCTTGACAACTGACGCTAGAGTTGAGCTTATTAAACATATTTTTTGTGCAAGGGAGAATTCAGAGGATGCTTTGAGCATATTTTGTGACTTTTCCAAGGCCTTCGACTGTGTTCACCATGAGACATTAATCAGGAAGCTACAGTATTATGATGTCAAGAACACAGCGCTTAAACTTATTATTTCATATTTAAGTAATAGAAAGCAGAAGGTTATTATCAATGGTAATAGTTCTTCCAGGTCACCTGTATTAATGGGTGTCCCTCAGGGCTCGATTCTCGGCCCATTTCTGTTTCTGGTGTATATTAATGACTTACCTCACCTTGTAGGGGATAGTCATGATAAAGTATTATTTGCTGATGATACTTCCTTGGTTTTTAAAGTTAAACGTCAATCATTTAAATGTGGCGAAGTGAATAATTAAAAAATTAAATTAGTGCATTGGTTTAACGTTAATAATCTACATTTAAACGGAGATAAAACTAATTGTGTTAAATTTACAACAACTAATGTTAAAAATTTGACTACCAATGTGTTTTTAAATGGGGAAGAACTGAGCCCTGTTGAATCCACTGTTTTCCTTGGCATCACGCTCGACGCAAGTTCAGTGGGGCCCCCATATATCCAAATTAGCAAGCAGACTAAGTTCTACAGCCTATGCTGTAAAAAAGATTAGAGGTCTCACTAGTGTCGAGACAGCTAGATTAGTTTATTTCAGTTATTTCCATAGCATAATGTCTTATGGGATTTTGTTATGGGGAATGCGGCTGATTCAGAAACTATTTTTGTTTTACAGAAGAGGGCCATTAAAGCTATTTACAATTTAAACCGAGAGATTCTCTTAGAGATAAATTTAATGAAATAAATATATTAACTTTGGCCTCTCAGTATATTTACGAAAATTTTTTGTATGTTCACAAAAACAAGGATAGTTTTAGTAAAAAAAAAATTGATATACATTCTATAAACACTAGGAACAAACAAAAGCTAGTGATGCCAGTTTCTCGACTCCACAGAGTCAGTAATTCATTCTTGGGGCAATGTATACGCTATTACAACAAGGTCCCAGAAAGTGCACAGGTTCTCTGTATTAGAAGTTTAAATGTTTTATTAAGCTGAAACTGTATAAAAAGGGTAATTATAGTATAAATGAATACATGGTTGATAATAAACCCTGGGAATGAGGTGGTCGCTTCCAAGCAGTTTCTAAAATAAACTTATTAAATAGTTCGTAATCATTTATATTGTAAATTTTATTTAAAAAAAGTCCCGCTGGGTTTCATGCTGGTTCTTCCCAAGACAGAGGGTTTTTTTTTCGAACCTGTGGTAAAGTAAAAAATGACTTTCAATAAGAATTACACATGTAACGTATATTGAATAAAAATTATTCTAATCTATTCTATTCTATTCTGCCTTTTGATTCCTCATCGGGGACAAATGTACTTCTCTAAGGGCCACAGCATCAACTTACCATTAGGTGGACTGTGCTCGTTTGTTACGATTATCTTTAAAAAAAATTTTGCTGCCTGCGAAAGAACTAGTAAAGTGAGTTCCACCCACCCAGTCGGATTCCTAGACAGATAAGGGGCCCTAACACCTATAAGCAACCATAAGCAACCTCAAAACTGCTTTATTATCAATAAAAATATGTAATGTTCTCCAGACCGAATTTCGGTCACGACAGCCAGCATCTAGAAGCAACCATAAGAAACCTCAAACCTGCTTTATTATCAATACATAGAAATAATATTCTCCCAACCGAATTCCGGTCACAGCGACCAGTCTCAACGAAGACTAGCCATCTGCACAAGACAGGATTATAGTGACCAAGTGTATGCGTAAGTACATGTGCTCTCTCTTTTCCCTTACTCTCTTAATTCGATGGGACGGTAAACCGATACGACCGGAGAGAGATCAGGCGCAGTATCAATAACGGCTTTACGCGCTTTCAGAAGCACAGGGGTAATACACCGCCAATTTTCTGACTCCGGGTAGCTACTGAGAATTTCTTGATGAAAAAGCTCATTAACTCATTTTTTTTTATAACCGGACCCGTAATAATTGAACCCGGGACCACATGATCACAAGTAGCACTACTACAACCACTAGACCAAAGAGGCAGTCAAATAAATAAATAAATTTATTTGTAATGTCGAAATAACAGCTTTTTACTTACAACATATTATGACAGTACATACGGTATTTATAACAAAAAAATAAATTTCTAAAATTTGGTTTTTTCTCTTTGTTTGTTTGTTCCGGCTAGTCTCCAAAATGGCTGCACCACACACTTGGGCTACTTTTATTATAGAAAAAGAATTAGGGTACGGCGCAAAAAAAAATTAAACCCATTAAGTGCAATCGTAATAAATTCCACGCAGACAAAGTCGCGGGAAACAGATAGTGTGTAGATAGAATATACCAAGAAATTATTTCAAATAATTAATTAGACCTGACAGCTAAGTCTGACCAAGGAATTAAGCGAGTAGGGATCCGGAATAACTAATATGTTTTAGACATTGTTAATCGAAGCTTATAGAGGACGAATAGTGGTAGGCCGCGGCTTTAAAACTATTTATTTTAAATTTTTACGTAATGGCAAATAGATGCTATGGCCCATAGACGGTAAAATCTGAGGATTAAAATTACTCATTGCTAGTAAAAACGATCCCATATGCTCGAAAATCGCCATACGTAATATGGCAGCATTAGGCTACTTTTTAAGCCGGTATTCTATGAGAGCGCGGTCCTTCCCCGGTTGAGCCGACCTATTCGTGCTACAAATATAGCCGTAGCGTGGCTCTACTACATACAAAAATAAAGTCTGTAGAAAATTGTAAATTGCTGCATGCCTGGAACAACTTTTAGTGACATCCTAAATAAAATTATAGTTACAAAGTTTTGCCCAACTAGTACAATAATATTTTTTGTTGGTAGAAGAAGCAGTGTAAACAACAAACAGTTATTAAAGTAAACTAAACAACTTAATAACTTAAATATACACAAAATTGTCTTGTTCACACTACTTTATATAAAGGGATTGCTACAGAAAAATAAGCTAAAACATAGCTTAAATTTACAAATGAAAAATTTAATGTGTAATAATAATTTAAATTTGACATATAATTTTAGTGATAATAATGACAATTTTCATTTTATTGACATAAATAATGCAATTAAGAAGTTTTGGACAAAAGATAGATATTACCTATCCAAATATAATTTAAGACTGGTAGCAATTGTATTATGTTATTTTTACATTTTAACTTTTCTTTCTAGTCGAGTTTTTGGCTACCAAGACTGCTTCTATTGAGCAGTGTCATCATTTGAGATTTAATTTGGAATCAATTCCAAACAATTTAAATTAGTGAATCCAACAATGGAGGCAATCTCTAGCAATAATAAAAGTTTGATTAATTTAGAATGCAGCAGTAAGTAATAAGAAGTGAAAATTTTTAAGGCATGATGGGCGAAGAATGGGAAGTTAAATTCTTTTTAAATAGTTACAACATACATATCCTTTGTATTACTGAACATTATCTAAAAGATTATAATTTAATGTTTAATTTCAGAAATCACCAGGTAGTCAGTTTATTCAATATAGTAAAAAGTTTACGTGGTGGCTCCTTATTATATAACGAACGTAAGCATATTGAGAGCCTCTCTGTTGAGCGAACTGTAGAAATGGCTTGTGCCGAGCTCGAGCACCTCATTGTTGTAAGTGCTTACAGACCACCATGTGCTACTTACGAATATTTTGAAATTATTTTGGAAAAAGTTTTGCTCAACCTTATTAAACTGAACAAGTCTGTTCTAATATGTGGAGACTTTAAAATCAATCTGCTTGAAGTTTCTTCCATTAGTATTAAGTTTACCTCATTATTTAAATCGTATAATCTATCATTTTGTATATATATATATATATATATATCATGTATAATCCATTTATTCTTAGAACCGACACGTACCTATTGCTGGGCCAGGTGCGACCTTTATAGATAACATTTTTACCGATGTTATGCATAGATGCCCTTGCATAAATCTAATCAAAATCAAAAAGTTCGGATCACTGTGGACAGTTGGTCTCATTGTCTTACATACACATATACGAAAATGAGAAAGTTGAGTTTGTTCCAATAAGTGAAAATCGTTTGGAGAGGTTTAGAAGTAACATAGTAAAAGGATTTCCATCACTTTCATTTAAAAATGGTGATGATTATTTGTATGGTTCATTATTTAAGATTAAAACTTATGAATTTAATAGAATATTTACTTCTAAAACTTTCTCTATAAACAGTCGCAAATCATTTAATGAATAGACGACAATAGGAGTTTATAAAATAAGACGAAAGTTATACGAGCTTTATAATGTAAAATCATATAATCATAGTGTTATATTTAGAGCGTATTTAAAAACATATTCTAAAATTTAAAAAAAATTATACTCCACAGCTAAGGCTAAACATTTAAGCAACAAAATTAAAACTGTATTCATTAAAATTAAAATGACATGGAGTATAATTAATAGTGAAACGGGCAAGGTCAAACTATATACATAACAACTAACATAGATGCAATAACTCTAACGAAAATCCCCCATAAGACTGCCGTTTCAATCAATAGTTTTAAAAAATTTAACGATATCTTATGGCAGTACTCTATGGAATTTAAAAGTTTTGAACAAGGCTTTACGTTTTGTTTGAGCAATGATTCGGCGACAGTAGGTGAAGAATTTAATGATTTTGTTGTCAAAAAAGAACATCAGTGAAATGTTTCTCAAAAGCCATAGCAACTTCTTGATCAGATTGAGATAAATTATTGTTAATATTCAATTTTTTGTTAGTTATTGAGGATTTCTCGAGATAATACTCAATAAGTGATTTTTGGTCCAACTCGGGATTCGAACCCAGAAATTCGTGGTCAGCAGTTGCGTTAAAAATCACTAGATGAACGCAGCAGTCACTGTTTAAAGCTTTCACTGACTTAACTGTTACTAACTGAAGTTCAACCATAAGTGAGAGATGGGAAACAAATGACAATAAAATATTTATGTACTTATGTACTAAATCTCTAAAGCTTTTGTGCTGAATTCTGCGTTGATTCCTATATTACTTACATAAGTGTAACAAAGTAACCATTCTTCATTCTTTCTTCTGTAAACTCGATTTAGGGTTCCGCACCCTAAGGGTACGGGACCAACAGGACTCTGTCTGTCTGTCAGCGGGCTGTATCTCATGATCCGTAATAGGGAGACAATTGAAACTTTCACAGAATATGTATTTCTATTGCCGCTATAAAAATATATAATAAAAATAAAAATTACTAGAAACGTGTTTTACGATGGTGCGGTATCTTTAATGCGCGAGTCCGACTTGCACTTGCCCGGTAAATTTTATCTGTTTGCTTCTCATGAAGATGAGGTTTACACAATAGCACAATCATCCATAAGCCCCTTTATAATTTTGCAAACGTTATCAAGAGGTAGCAGATAGAACGAATTGTTGACAGAGTGATGTATATGTGTATGAAATATAAATGTGTGTGTGTGTGTGAGTGTGTGCGTACGGGCGTGCGTGCGTGCGCGTGTGTGCGTGCGTGCGTCCATGCATGTGTGTGTGTGTGCGCGCGCGCGTGTGTGTGTGTGTGTGTGTGTGTGTGTGTGTGTGTGTGTATGTGTGTATTCATGAACTGTGTAATTGGCATATTAAATCAATTATTTTTTAATTCTAACATCTGATCCTTAAATTGTACAGATGGATTTGGGCGCTTCCCGTTTTTGAGAGGATATACATTAATCGTCACGCTTGGCAGTAAAATTTCCGTATATTGAAGGTGGAAGAATATTCAATACACCATATCATAAGAAACGACGGGGAAAACAAATCAGCGAACAGCGCAGCAACATCATCTAATAACAACTTTAAAAAAAACTGCGGTCGCCAACCCGCTTGCCAAGTGTGGCAGCTATGGCAAATTTACGCCTGCAACTTTACAAGGCGCAGGTTCGGCCTCACATGGAATACTGTTCCCATCTCTGGGCCGGGGCACCCCAGTACCAGCTCCTTCCACTTGACCGCATCCAGCGCAGAGCGGTTCGAATTGTCGACTATCGAGTTCTTTCCGATCGGCTCGTAACATTAGCGCTGCGAAGAGATGTTGCATCCCTTTCAATTTTATTTCGTATCTACCACGGGGAGTGCTCTGAGGAATTGTTCGGATTAATCTCAGCCGCCAAATTTCACGAACGCACATCGCGGCAGAACTCTCAATACCATCCACACCATCTGGATGATTGGCAGTCCACCACTGTGTGATTTAGAAGATGTTTTCTTCCTCGCACAACTTCCTTATGGGATCGATTACCATCAGCGATTTTTGCGGACCGATACGACTTAGGGACCTTCAAGAAAAGAGATTACTTCTTTTTAAAAGGCCGGCAACGCATCTGCAATTCCCCTGGTTTCACTAGTGTTGCAGTTGTTCATGGGCGGCGGTAGTCACTTATCATCAGGTGAGCCGCATGCTCGTTTGCCCCCTCTCGTATAAAAAAAAATATCCATATGAGGCAAACTATGGGGGACGCCTAAGTTTAGCAGTAGACTTTTAATAGGCTGTAACGGTATCGGTCATAAAATTATTATATTACGTATAGAATACTAGTACGCACACCGAAAGTGAAGCAAGTAAAACTAACGCGAAAACGCGTAAGTTCACTCAGCGATGCGTTAGTGCGCAACATCACGTCTAACGGAGAAGAACTAGCGAAAAATTTAAAAATGACCGTTTGTGTTGTAAAATATTGTCGCAACAGTGATGATAAACATAAAAGAAGTTATGATATTACATTTCACATATAAGTTCATATATTTAATTCATTATAACTACGTAAAACTAAAAAAATACTTACCTAAGCTATCATGATACAAATGTTGCTAGTTGTAGGGAAAAAAATCACTATTTTCCTTTAAAAATATTTATTTTGTATTTGTGTTTAAAACGTTTAATCGCAACGCTCTGTGTATAACTCAAATGTTTATACCTAGTCAGGTCATAAGTATTGTCACACAGTAAAAACATTTCTTTTAGAATGCTGGCCGCAAAAAAGTTTATTGAATTCGAATTTCGAATTGTTCATGAAAATAAAACTGTATACTTTTTAGAATTTTACTCATTTTTAAATATGGAGTGGACGCTTAAAGAAGACCGTGTTGCAGTTATTGCGTTGCATCGTTCCGGTTACGCGGCAATTAAAATTTTTGACATACTGAAAAATTTGAATATAACCAAAAGATTCGTTTATCGTATAAACGATATAATGAAGACTCTAGTGTAGATGACAGGTCAAAAAGTGGTCGCCCTTGGTCTGTTAGGACTCCAACAGTGATAAAAGCTGTGAAGGCGCGAATTCAAAGAACTCCCAAACAGAAGCAGAAACTGTTGGCCCTTCAGATGGGGTTAAGCAGAACCACGGTGAAAAGGGTTTTAAATAAAGACTTAGGCCTTTGGGCATATCGAAGAAAAACAGGACATCGTTTGAATGCTCGTCTAATGGACCTGAGTGTGAAGAGATGCCGCGCTTTGTTGAAGCGGTACGCGGGAAAAAAATATCGGGAAATTCTTTTTTCGGATGAAAAGCGCAGATTGAAGGCTTGTATTCAAAATCACGGAGGTCATTTTGAATAAACTTTAGTGTCATAAGAATCTATGTTTTGTTAAGTTCATTTTGGTATATAAATGGTTACATAATGAATAAACTTGTTTCAATTATTTTGTATTAAACATGTGACAGAATTTATGACCTGAGTAGGTATATAGCTACCTACTTCTCTAATTATTAACATAATATTAACATTGGGAGCCTATTTAAAACTAATACGGAGTGATCAGCTAATTGCGATTCATCGACGCCATTTTAACACAACTATTTTATTTTAATTGCTTTGTTTATTGACTAATTTGACGTTTTAGAGTATAGAATAAAAACTTTTTTATTTACAACATCAAGCGATTATTAATAAGAACGCCTTTACTAACCAGATATCACTTTACACCCAAACATTGACCAGATGTTATTTTAGACCCAAACATAGTCTAATTTAACCGACTCCCAAATAGGAGAGGTTATCAATATGTATGTACACTGATTTCTAAGACGATTCTAGATCAATTCGTATATACATGCTGAAATTTTAGTGGTTGTTGTCCTGCAGCCAAATTATGCTGTCTCGATAGTAGAGTCCATTTATTAAAATAAAAAATATTACAATTAAAAAAGGGCAGATTTACAATAGTAACAAGCTAGTCGCGCGTCCAGATTAGTTTATGTTGTATCACTACGCTTGAGAGTTCTTGCCCTGAACATTTATAAGTGGTCCTTCACTGTGTAGGCAGCGCGCGGTAGCGCGTGCGATAGACGTAACACTACGTTACGTCCAGCGAATATTTTTTTATTCAGACCTTATTATAGTAATACGGTATAAGCTAGCCTACACGCCCGATCTACTTGCGAGATATTGCTATTGCTTTGCGATCGTATTCGAGTTTTGTTTTTCTCGATTGTAAATCTGCCATTTTTGCATCCTTATAATTTTTATTTTAATAAATATATTGTACTACCAAGAAAAAATCATTTCACTTCGAGAAAACAACAATTAAAATTTCAGCGTGTATATTAGATCAATCTGTGTGTATTTCCTTTCAAATAAATAAATATAAATCGGTTTAGAAATTATAGAATTCTGAGGTAAAAACATTTACAAAATACACCGAATTGATAACCTCCTCCTTTTTTGGGTGGTTAAAATTAAACATTACACGATGTGCTTATTGTATTCGAGAAATTAATTGTGTTTAAAAATATTCTTAAATTTTATTACATCTGCATTTTTGTACCATTAAAATATGTATAATAACGTTATATTAGTACCATAATTATCGTGTTTATTTTTATTCCATTTTATATTCTCATAAAATACATCTTCGTATGTAATACGTAATATTTATTATATCGATTATTTAAAATTAACCAATAAAATAGTGATTTGCACAATTTGATTGCAAACGCCAGAAACTGAATGGCGGGTATGTGTGCGTGTGACGAGCGTAGGCACATTCGGCTCGCGTCCACTAACGTAATGACCTTGCGTCACTTTAACGCTCGTGTTTTGTACTAGATTGCGTTTCTACTGGGTAATAATTCTATGGTATCGGTATTTCCTGTAGTCGTTTCTTGTTGTTGCCAGTACGAACTCTAGGACGAAATGGGGTGATATATTATTATCTTATGCTTTCACCACTCGGCACATTAAATGAGTTCCTTTTTCACACTTGTACAAGACTTTTCTTAGAATCTTCTGATTTCACCGTTCAGTACATTCAAAATTATGTTATACTATAGCTCTTCCATATAATCTTAGCCATAGAATCAAATTACCTACGCTATTAACGAGAATTGTAACAAATAGGAGACTTGGATCAATTTGATTGCAAAATGTATTAACAACCAACACAGTACGTTTATAATTAATTCCAACATAATAGAAACGACGGAGGGTAAGTGAAACAGAAGATAAACAGAAATACATGCCTGATATAATTCATTAATCAGAAATAAAACTGCTTTATCACCTGGGTGGCAAATAAACATGACATTAACATAAACACTCACGCCTGTCGCCTAGAAGAGTAGGCAGAGACTACAGACTTCTATTTCGCACGATCCTGACTCACCTGGTGAACTGTGTGCTCGTTTGTTATGCTTGCGCTTATTCTATAAAAAATCCTCAGTGGTGAAAACGCGTCTGAATTTCAATTCTTAATCGAATATCTTAAGGAAATATTTATGTATCTATTGGGCATTGCATTTACTTATCATTAGGTTGAGTGTGTGCTTTTCACCTTTATTTCTTTCTATTAAATATTCTATTAAGTTATTAACATTCTATTAAATATTTTTCAACCACGATAATAGGCAAACAGCAAACATTCAGTGTCAAGCTTAAAATAAGTTGTATTCAAATTAAATATGAGTTTGGCGGAATATACAGGTTCATTTTTAATTTACTAAAGACCTTTTGGGAATATATTGGTTATATCATTACAAACAATTTTAGCGAGATCACTCTTTACAGAATATAATACATTTA